CACGCGGCGGATTTCGGCAGGCGAGAGCGCTCAGGATTTTGCACCGTGGATGCCAGTCGCGTCCGCCCTGCGTTGACTACAAAAATACATCTCTTTTTTAAATCCTCACGGACGAGTTCCCGATGGCATCGCCAGTCAAAAGTATACCTGTGATTCAAGTCCAAGTACGAAGTGCAGCTCCAATAACCACGCTTCCATGAACTACATAACTCGAGGGACTGTGGTTTTCCCACCCACACTCCTACCTAACCACCCACCTACCCAACCTCCCAGTTTCCATGAATCTAGACGACTCAAACTGGACGCCCGTTTGCGTGGTAGCCCGAATTCTCCCAATGTCGCCGCTTGGCGTTGCCCGGATTCTACGCGACAATTCTGTTTTCTGAGCAGCGTAAATGGTAAATTTCCAGGGTAAGAGCTGCCCCAACTCGCGTGATAAACTCTCCAGCAGACTCGTACCAACCAATCGTGGAAACTCAAAGTGCCTGTCACCTCGAATTCTTGGAGCAATGAGACCAACTCGAATTTGAAGTTCATGCAAATAAGGTATTAAACGTCCAATTAAAGGCCAATCGTTGCATCTATCTCACACTCGTACAAATTCTCCTCAAGTGCTTGATCGACAGGAAGGCGTTTCAATAAGTTGCAAGTTTTAATAATCGTGTAACATATGTCAAAGCGATTTGGGTGACCGCTGCGCAATGAATGGGGCATGACCCCAGGGACTCACGTGTCAATAAAGCCATCCTATCCGTTTATATAAAAAAGTTCCACAATGTATACTGCCGCCACCATATCGCAGTTTCACCCTCAAAACGGGCGAAACCGAATCACAGCCCCGCGGCTTTTCTAATGTGCAGATGTTCAAGGGTCTTTGATCACATGATACGTCTGCCACCCAGTGGCTAATTCTGGGATGGATAAAAACCAATTATTGCACAATCGTGCCTGATCACACCTTGCTCTCGGTGCGTGATTTATACGGAAATTGCACCAAGTTACAGAATTGCTAAGTCACTGGTTGAAACATCCTCGCCTAATTTACAGCTTAAAAATCGAAGAAGAAAATTCAAACGGTGCATTACGCCACGCAAAGAAACACTTCTGTCAAACGACGAGAAGCAAGGCATCCCTTAGTTGTTCTTCTGGTACAAATAACCAACACGCTGCCCGTGCATTAGCAGTTGAGAAGAAAAAGACACCATTATGGCATTGTCAACAAAATAAATGTGGTTAGACCTACACGACCCAAAGAGATATGCAGCTAATAAATTCACAGTTAAAGGCGGTGTTGACGTTTGTGCCGCGGTCACACGGGAGGGGGGGGGGGGTGGAGCATCCCGACGACCGCCACCGCCGACGCCAAAATAGGCTTTCACGACGGCGAATGACAAAAAAAAATCCGCCGAAACCAAAACCGCGACTCCGATTTTTCAAGTAATTCCTTGAAGCTAAAAGGGTTTTGTTCTCAAAAGCACCACGTTTAACCGACCCACTTCCCGGCGGCTAAAGCGGACCCGTCCTCGCGAGGGGCTGGCGGCGAGACGGGAGGGCGCGTAATGGAGGTTGCGGCGGCGTCCTCCATGAACAAAACCTCCCGCCGCGCGGCGTCCACGCACCAAGGCCGGGTCACGCAAACGTCGCCGGCAGAGGAGGCCGTGCGAGCAAAAACTTTGCCCCCCATCGTTCAGAGTGCCGCGACGGGAGATCGAGCCCGGGGACCGTTGGAAACGCCCAGCGTGCGAACCAAATTGACGCGGCGACAGCAGTCCCCCGCCCCCACCCCATCCCCTAGAGTTTGCGTAGAATCCAAAACCTCGCGAAAACCTCGCGAAAATCTGACAGGAGGGGGGGGGGGAATTGTGGGACTGCATTAGTGCGTAAGAACAGATCTATGCATGCCGCTGCCATTAACACACACTTGACTAATACACTGCCGGATATCGTTGGCTAATGGGGTATTTTCTTTTTTTAACCTTGGCCCTTCATGGACCATAGAGTTGGTATTTTACGGTGCTGTAAATGAAATGTCAAAAATGTTGACAGTTGAAGATGCAGTTTTGTGAAAGAACAGCTGGGGGAGCGGTGGTTCAGTGGTCAATGCATGAACGCAGCGATTCCCAGCTATGGCTAACATCAGTGGTGGGCCACTGGCCCCCCCCCTTCACCAACCCATGCTGGCCAGCGTGATGCAGCATGGCCAAACAACCTCCATAATCGACACAGCGGTGGCCTAACAAAGGGCCGTAAATAAATATTACCGTTGCCCATCTGCGGTTCAAATCCACCGAGGGATGAATGCCTCCCCCATGCCACCAACCGAATCTCTCGCGGTCCTTACGACGCAACGATCCGACTCGCTCCTGCTCGCGTGCCCATCTCTCATCGCTCCATCTGCGCGGTTGTGCGTGCCACAGGGCGCATTCCCTCCATTCGCTGCAACTCCGCCCTTAGTCTCGCCCACCGTCCGTCCACCCTTCCGCGCGACAGGTGGCGCACAAGCCCACTTGCGTTTCTGACGCCCGTAATCTACAAGGCAGGGGTGATGGGAGTGGTTGAGGGATGTATTTTGCTTAACGAGTGCGGTTGCCCAAGGCGGTGGAGCGAGATAACCACTCGGATCTACACCCCATCACACACGCACGCACGCGGCTCCCGTGTGGGGTGCGAGAGCGGATCGGCATTACGATAATGCTCAGGTATAATCACTCGCGGAGTTAATCGACCGCAAGGATCGCTGGCGACGGGTGTAATTCTTTTTTTTGTGAAAGGCCATTAAGTCTGTGTTGAGAATCTGGCAGGAATTGTGATACACGGCGAGAAGCAAAGCTGTAGCTGGTACGTGGAACACGGTCCCGCAAAATCGACCAGCGCGCAAAACAGTATCCACGGCGAGGTTGACCGGATCAATAACGTGCAGCCGTTTTGTCAATCCGCTGCTGGATGAGGGCCACGAGGGGGGGGGGGGGGTCATGCTGGTGAAGGCGGGAGGTTAGACGTGGGAGCGCAGATCAGTACAATGGATTTAACTTCAATTGCCCTACCACTGCTCACCACGTATCCCCACCAGGTAGGTCCACCACATATCCCCGCGGCCGGTTCGAACGATCGGACTTTGCGCCCATCCAAACGCTATCAAGGCTCAAGACTGTTTAGTTTCCGAGATCCGACAGGGTCGGACGCACTGCGGATGATTTGGTGACGGGCGAAGAGCCCAAAGTGGCTGAATCATCCGCACGCCGTGTGCTTTGTCGGCGGTTACCAGCGTCCTCGTTAACCTCCACTCAGCCCAGGACGAACGGAATACAACGCAAAAATCAATCAACAAATTGACGTGCAGCCTCGGCGTTACTTAATCGAGCACCAATAAGGCACAGGTCAAATTAGGCGCCATTCGCCGATCGGTAGAGCGTGCGGTCACGAACCGTGGACAGCTACCCTGTGTCACACTCGTTGCGCACACAATAAACGTACAACCCTTTGCAAAGCCACTGCTTGACGAAGCACGCCACCCCCACCCTACCCCCTCCCCCCCCCCCCCAAGTCGCATCATGGGGGTTGTATGACCATACTTCACCACACCGATTGGTGCGGCTTGGTGAAGGGACGGTTCAGATATCGCTCGACACCGATGTTAGCCGTGGCCGGGGAATCTACTTCACAGCGAAGTGCGCTAACCGCTGCACCGCCGCGCCGTCCATCGTCACCGTGCCCCAGCAACGACGAGTCGAGCGATCGATCAAACCGCTCCCTTGGAACCGCCTGCAACTGCTTTGTTGCGCAACAAGGACTTGTGTGGCCGTGCCCTCTACCACATGCCCCGCCCTTTTTCCGGTTAGCTCCACCCCCCCCCCCATCCCGCCCCACCCCGCCCACGTCAGGATTGCAATGACCAATCGCATTTGGCAAACGTGCCGCGTGATTTAAGTACGTCGCGACGAGTCGTCTGCGAGCAGATGGCCGTTGAGAAAGTCGAGTCCGTCTCTGCTGCGAGTGGCCGAGTTGCGCGACCGCTCGCAATCGGTTGTGGAGAGACGTCCACACATAACCAAATTCAGTGGCGTGCAAACAGAGTTGCGTGGCCGATCGCTCAGGGGCGGGCCCGGCGTTAGGTTCGAGGCTGCGGCACGATGCAAGGAGGGGCTGCCTGCGAGATCCAGAAGTCCCTCCGCAGGTTCCACCACGCAATAAAATCCAAAGGGTCAAAGTGATTTCCTGTCCGACCGAGAGCGGGGCAGTGAGTGCTCATCAGCTGTTTAAAGCGCCGAGCCAGTAGAAATTACACGTTCATATGACGGGGGCAGGTATTCTCTTGACTGCGGTGCATATTTTATCGACCGCAGAGTGACGATGGGCTGAGCCAAGTCTCAACCCGACTGGAATTTGAATATGCGACCTTCCGATTGAAGGTCAAGCTCTCAAACAGGATCATAGGTGAGCAAGCCGATAATTCAAGATACATTCGCTTCAAAGACATCGTGTTAAGAGGTACAAAGGTGGGTAATTTTGTGATTAGCAAATGGAGGTTAACACTACGGTATGGGGGGGGGGGACACATCTACATTAAATTACACCTACATTCAACATACCCCCCACAAAAAAACTTTAAATCAAAGGGTTCACGAATAACATTGATTGACCGAAGTTCACAATGGCTGGTTGGATGTCAAACAAAAAAAAATCTAAGCAAAATTCCCCTAACCCCCGCCCCTGACAGCACACAGTGATATAGCATGGTTGGCATGGTTGGCATGGGCCTTGGGTGCAAGGCAATGAAATTGGAACATTTTGTCCAAACTACATCGGCTGGTATACAGGAGGTCGTGGTTTCGACCATTACCCTGACGCATGTACATTTGGAGTTTGCATGTTCTCTCTCCCAGTGGCCGTGTGGATTTTTGTCCGGGTACTCCGGTTTTTCCCTCCACATTAAGAATCAACGTGTGTTCATGGGAGTATTTGGCTGCTGTAAATTTCCACGTGATAAGTCACTTCGTTGACCTATCATTTGTGGCCAGGTCGCTTCTGAAAAAGAGCGAAATATCCCAGTGGGCCTTACCTGGTAAAATAAAAAAGAAAATGTTCATTGCACCCCGGTGCAGTTGCACCACCTGCACACTCGACAGCTAGGCCAACGAGCGCCTAGGCTCGGCTAAAACTAGGAGACATGAACCGGAGCAGAGAGGACAATCTTTCCAATGTGCAGACGTGGCTTCGCCCCGACAGCTGCAACGCTCGGCACTGAGGACGGCAGACGTCTTGACGCGGCCTCTTTCCATCTCCCCCTCGCCACCCCCCTCCTCTCCGCCTCGAGTGGCGGGCGGGGAGACCCGGGGCTCCGTCACTTGGTCCCGTTGAGCACGCGGACCGTCTGCCGGCCGTAGCGGTAGTAGCTGTAGCCGGATCCCACAGTGGTGAGCGCTGTCACGTACCTAGGGCGCACAAACACAAAGATCCCCCCCACTCCGTAGGCTGGTTGGGGCAAGTGCTGCTCGCCAGAATGGTGTAACGAGGGGGTGCGGCCCAGCCCAATGGCCAGCCAGCTGCCTTTGTCTCCCCAGTGACGATGTTTAGACGTCAACATACGAGTGGCCTAGGACCGGTTCAGATACAACACGCTGCTGGTGTTAACCGCGGCCGGGAATCGAACTCAGTTCAGCGGTTTCGTCGCAGCGTGCAACCACTGTGCTGCCGCTCCACGCGCACACAGATCCACACTCGAACTGGGACCCATATCTTTCCGACAGGGTCTTTGACCTGGGCAGTTCACCAGCATAGGTCCACAAGCATGTTTGACTCTGGCGATGGACGACGCCGTGTATCCAAACTGGTCCCGAGTTGTTTGCGTGTGCTTAACCATCGCTGCGGACGTTGTGCTGGAGCAGAAGGCCTGATTGCAACTGGACCTGCCGCTGTAAATGTCGTGCAATGCGACTCTGCCCTCTGGTGGTGAAACCGCGTGTGAAAAAAAGACCAATGCAAGCGCCGAAGCCATCGACTGTGCGAGCATTCATCCACGTTGAGACGCTGAAAACTGTTTTCTTTTGAACCGCTTCTTGTGTTTAGTTTGTTGTCCTTCCCCGCAACTCCGATTAGCACGGTCGGCTACGTACGGTGCTAAATAAGTTCAACATAGATACATTAGGAAGCCACTGGAGCGATGCACTTTCAAATCATGTAAATTGAAAACTAATTTCTTTAGAACTGCTTCTCGTGCTTAGTTGGTGGTCCTTCCCCGCACCTCCGATTAGCACGGCTGGCTCCGTACGGTGCAAAAAAAAAAGTTCAACTTTTGTCACTGCTGGATGTGGGACTCCCTACGCTGTGCTGTTCGTGGTCGGTGGGGGGTTTAGGGTGGTCAGTGCGGGTCGGCGAAGGCGGTGCAGTGCGGTGCGTCGCAGTGTGGTGGCGGTGTTGGTGTGCAGCGAGGCGGGGAATCACCAGAGCGCCACCAGCAGGGGGCTGTCCATTTGGTGCAGCACCGGCGCGGCCAGAGACGCGGCCACCAGGAAGAGCTGAACGGCCGTGTTCACCTACGCGCGCACGCACGCACCGTCAAATGCGCGCGCACGCGCAAAGATCCCTTGTGTCGCCTACGTAAGGCGTGGGGGGGGAAGTACCGTGAGCGAGCAACTTTTAAGGCCTCAACTGACTTACACCAAGGTCAGAGGTTGGCAACCTGTGGGTCCGAAGCCGCATGCGGCTCTTCAAGGACCGCTTCGTGACACGTCAATATATTCACCACGTGCACTGCGCCTCTTGAAATACTGAAGGGTTTTTTTACCGAAATCGAAAAAAATGGCTCTTGTTATTGTTGTTGCAAGCCCCTGACCTAGGCACAGTTACCCATAAATCCACGAAGATCCCCTGTATAGCCTTAACAGACTGTTGGGCAGGTGCTGTTCGCGAGCACCTATGAACGCCGGCACAGCACACGAGGGGGTGGGTGGCCATCACCACGCCCGGCTGCTTTTGTCTCCCCAGTGGTGATATGTTTTACATACCGTACCAGGTTCTCATTTAAGGCTGAGTGGAAACAGGGGAGGCCCAGGAACGGTCCAGGTAATCAGCACCGGTGTTGGCGGCCATGAGCGGGATTCGTATTCGGGTCGCTGAGTCCACGGTGCAGCGCGCTGACCGCTACACATTCACGCTTGGGATTGTCTTACGATCGATTGAAAAGCTGTAATTGGTCCATAACATGTATCGACTTGCCTTGCTGATGAGCGTTGGTTTAAGCTGGGCAGTAGCAAAACGTGGATTGAAGTATCGAGCCAGGGTGCACTAGAAATATATAAAACGACACAGCAGCAAGAACAACGAGTTACATACGCGCTTATAAAAAGCGCTGCGGGTAAGCAGGGTACTCGGCACGCTACCCGTAAAAAAATAAAGACAACATAAGTCATTTAAATTCAACGTGCAACAAATACGCACTGCGATCGCGACTCCTCAATCGAGATCATCAGAATGAATGGCAAAGCGGCAGAAATTTTTTGTGCCCGAAACTAAATGTGTCCAACTTAATTCAAGTTAAAACTTCACTGCAGTTCTCGACATCGGCAGTTTTTTTTAATTAACAGAGCGCAGCACGATAGGCAAATAATTACATGACGATTTCCCTTAATAATGAAGATCAACAAGCAGAGGCGCCCTAATGAAGAGAGTTTTTAATCAGCGAGCACGAGCCGCTGTGACACGTGAATAAGAAATACGGACACTGACAAAGATACTGAAACAAAAGATGAAGAGTGCGCAAACAAGCGTGGCGAAGAGGTGTACGCTGGGAATTACACCGGAAGGCAGAGGGAAAACAAGAGGTCATACGTAAGTGAGAAACGTCTTATCGACAATTAAAAATGCAAGTGGGTTTTTGCGCAGTACATGTCGCTGTAAGGGATGACGGCTGGGTGGTCGAGCCTTACTTATGACAAGAGTGGCAGCCAAAGGAGGGAAACAAACTGGATAGGATGCCCACTGTGGAGACGGGGCGATGAAATCTGCTCGTGTGCAGGAGCAAGGTGCATGGATCGTTGCATCGCGCGACCGTAAGCGACAGCTGGCAGGAGGACAGGGATGCTTTGGTCCCAGCAGTGGATAGATCATGACTGATGATGATGATGATGCTGCTGCCAGTGCAGGTTTAGTGCGGTACTCACTGGAGGAGGCACTGTGCGGTAGCGCACGTAAAAAACAGCGCCGATGAGAGCGATGTCCCTCGAAATGATCAGGGCGGTCAGCGGCACTGTCAAACACACAATAGCGCCACAGTGGTGCGATGTAAACTACTTCGCCTGGGATATAGGAGGTCGTGGGTTCGATGTCGACCCCGACGCCTGTAATATTTGGAGTGTGTATGTTCTCCCCGTGGTCACGTCGATTTTTTTTTTCCGGGTCCTCCGGTTTTTCCCTCCACATTTAGAATCAACGTGCGTTCGGAGTATTTGGTTGCTATCAACTTCCACGTGATAAGCCACTTCGTTGAGCTATCATTTGTGGCCAGGTCGCTTCTGAAAAAGAGCTGTATAACTCAGTGGGCCTTACCCGGTGAAATACAAATAGTTTAGATTTGAAGCTTTCGTGACTGCAAGGATCCATACTCTTTCGTTCTATTCGGTAAAGTCACGTAGGTAAAAAAATAAATAAAACAAAAATCTACGTGACTTTACCTAATTACCTAATAGAACCAAAGAGTACAAATAGTTTAGTAAGTAGTTTAGTTTAGGTTCGTCACGGTTTGACAAAAGGGGCCGTAAATTATTATTTAAATTAAGTGCGGGTAGTGTGCGAGACCATACGAACCAGTGTCTCTGAATGTGGGCAGGTGGCCGAGTGGCTCAAAGAGGTCAGAGCGCTGGAGATGGCACTGCTGAGAATTCAAACCGGGTTCTCAAGTGTCTTGATTTGAAGGCCTTGGTCCAGTCACCAATAATTACTTTCTTTTTGATCAAATGCAAGCTCTTAAGAAATGAAACAAATATTGGCATGACCGACATACGATGAACATTACTCCCAGTGGCATGAAACAATATATATGCCCTGTGGTAGGACAGGTTGAAGAATGCTGCCCTCTATTTTGTGGACCAGAGGTCACTTGAAGGGATCTCAGAAGTAGTTCTGTGATATTTGCTTCTGGCACCGTTCGTCAAACAACTGCTCTGCGAGAGCTCCCAATGGACACATCGTGTCATGACATGAAGCTGATAGCACAATCCGAATAAACTTGGGAGTAAGCAAGATGGGGAAAAATATTAAGTCGAAGTCATTTGTCACTGGGTGCAGGTGTACACCATGTGCTCTCACAGAGCTGGACGAGGGCAAGTGAGAATCGTCACGTATTCACCTACGCCGTTAATTTATATCGAGGAGAGCCTCGCTAAATGAACGTTGACAAGGTCGGCCAGTGGCGCAGGATAACATCTGGACTGCGCAGTGAGTGGAGCAAACTCATGCTCACCAGGAATGAGGTGAGCGCAGGTGAGGCTGATGTAGAGGACGCTGATGAGGATCTTATCTGCGAGAGGGTCGAGGGCGCTGCCCAGCGCCGACTGCTGGCTCGGCCAGGTCCGTGCGATAAATCCGTCCAGCTGCCGTCGGACAAAAACAGGGTGCATCGAGTCCGTAAGCATGGGTATCTTCCCGGACATCACAGCACCGTTTTCTTGGACACGCATCACGGACCGTTTCACACGGGATGCTGAGACATTGCTGAACATGCCCACGTTGACATCAGTACACTCGGTTCGTACTCTCGTCTGTGAGGTCCTCCTCCCTTACATGAGTCCACTCTCTCTGGGAGGGTCATTTTACATCAAGACCATCTCTCTTCCGTACACACTGATTTACAATGTACGGACAACATAGTAAACCACTGTAGTCTGCGCTCCTTCATGCTGAAATCTCCGATTCCTGACCCTTGCCGTGCCCTGGGTATATCAACAACTGACGTCTCTCCTGTGTCGCGTTACACTCGGCTACATAAGAGTTATGAATGGAAGTGTTCTCATAGCATGGAGGCATGGCAAACCCAACGATTGGAACATCTTCTTCGTGGCATTTATTCCCACTCACATAGAGTAAATCTCCCTCCTCCGCTTCCTCCACTCATCTCCCTCCTGAAATGAATAACACCTGATGCATGCCCTACAAAAAAGTTTTTTGTTTTATTTTAATGCCAACTCAACTGAATCAGTGCGAGTGCCCCTTCTCTTCCTAATCACTTCCGCACCTCAACCAATATGCCATGGGGAGGCCAAGTGTCTTACAACTCTTCAGTCATTCTATTTTTTCCTCGACCGCTGCTACGGAGCCTGCATTTACCAAGGCTTGGTTGGGACAACACAACGGTCATATAATGATTCGAACATAATATAATTTTTTCAATGTACTGTATATAAAAATAAAAGCACACTAAAAACCTACGTGCCCGCTCGCAGTCCCTACTACCTGAGTGAGGCACTGAGTCCAACCTTCTCCCCCCTTCCCATAACCTACTGAGGTTCCACGGAATTTCGGAACCCCCCCCCACGCTCTCCCTGCCTTTTACCGGGCTCTTGAACAAAAAAGCCAAGCACGCAAGTGTTGAGGATGAGTGCGGGGGAGGGGGGGGGGGGTGCTGGACGCAAATAGCGCTGGGGGAAGGCGCGTCGTACGAGGTCGGTGACGCCGGCCAGCAAGAGGAGCCCCAGCGCCAAGCCGAACTCCTCGTCGGCGACGAGGCACGCGATGACGGGAGACAGCGCGATGCGCGTCACGCACAGGGCGTTGGGCACCGTCCAGGGGTTCTCGTACTGCCACGCACACCAAAAACAAATGCCCACCAGTCGAATGCAGTACTCTCAGATAAGGTGGTAATATAATATAAATGACAAGTATAGAGCGCCTTCGTCCAAGGCGCTTGACAAGAGCTTACAAAACGGTGACAGAATGGAATGATTTTGATGGTGGGGGGGGCGTTCTACTCGGACTGAGGAATGAGTGACTGCCAGCGAGGTACTTCAAGAACGGGTAAGGGAGGGATGTGAAGGAGTGGATGGGTGAGGGGAGGGAAGAGGATGGGCAACAGATAAGCGGTGAGGCTTTAAGAGAGGAACGGAAGGAGGTTAAGGAAGGCTACTTAATATGCAAGGTAGGTGTATGAGAATGAAGCCGCTATCTCCGTCCATCTGTCTGTAACGTGGAGGAGTGATAACTTTCGTAGTGATTATCCGATATGAACGAAACTTTAGAATCAAGTTGTTTTACTCTTACGGACTTATGTTGAAAAACGGTCAAATATAGTTTAGGATTTCCACAAAACTTTGTGACATGCCAGACCAAAAAAGGACTATGGCCTGACAGGTACCAGTGGGCGTCCGTACTAATAAACTTCTTCCGAGGACAAACTCTTTTTACAACGCGTTACGTAATCCAAGGTTAAGTATGCTTTTAATTAAAAAAACGCTTTAAGCATAAATAACAAAAAAGAATGTTTAGGAAAGTTGTATACTACTGCAAATATATATAAAACAAAAAAATGACGGCTAAATTTCATTTTCCAAATATGAAAAAACCGATGGTAATTACCAGCTCTGAAAAGATGTTCTCTTTGGCCGAGTTGCCGGGAGCCCGAGTCCCCGAGGCAGCTCCCGACGCGTCGCCCCCTCCTCCCCCACCCCGAGTGTCGCTTCCCCCGCCGCCCTCCTCGGGCCCTTTCGCCCCGGCGGAGCGGCTCCCCCCGGCGTGAGGGGTTCGCGCTACGCCCCTCCAAGTCGACCGCAGCAGGGGATGACCCCAGCGCCACCCCGATGTGACGACTTGGGGGGACCTGAGCGACCGTTCACTCGGACAGAGGCCACGGTGGCGGCTGCTGCTACTGCAGCTGCAGTAGCAGCAGGCTTCGCAGGTGCTCCTGTTGCCGAATGAAGGGGAGCGGATGGTCGTGGTGGCTGGACTGCCTGGTCTCCTGAAGTGTCTCAACGACGCCACATAACCTCGTGTTTTTCCCACGACAGAGGGTGAGAACAATGGGGGTGACGGTGACAGTGATGACGATGGTATTGTGGAGCAACTGGACAGAAAGGTGGCGGGACAAGACAGGAAAGAGGGAAGAGAGGAGCAGCACAAAGTGGAGAACGGCGATGAGGAGGTGGAGAAGGGCAGGAGGCAGAAAGGGGATTTTGATTCAAGTATCGATGGCGGCGACAGTGAGGGGGATAACAGTGACGGCGAAGATGACGACGGCGATGATGACGGTGATAATGAAAGAACAGAGGAGTGTGAGAAGGATAAACAGAAGGATGAGGAGGTCGACGAGGAGCGGAGGCACCGACCAAGCACTGACATCGTCACCATCACCATCTTCACCCTCTTTCAGCGCGCGAGTCCGACGTTACTCATGTCCGTTGTGCTGGAGGCGCCCGGTGCCGCTGTTGTTGCTGTTGGTTTGGTTGTTTGTTGTCTCTGTTTACTCTTACGAGGACGAAATCAACAACAACAACTTTAGAGCGGACAGCACGCGGGGCCTGGGCGCGGCCATGATTGCTGCCGTAAAGCAGCGCGACAGCTGACGAGGTCGAGGTCGTAAAGTAGATTTTTGTCGCGTGCGGTGAAAGTTGGTGGGGGGGGAGTGTCTTCTATTTTTTTACGACGTTTTACGACAAACGCATTCAACGTCCAGGCTTTTGTCAAGGTCATTCGGTTAGCGTGTCACCTCAAACCAATTGCGTGGATGACAGCACATGTCGCCATCGCTATCCTTCCCGCCTGATTACACGCTTCAGCCTCTCCGGGGGCGTCGTCAAAACAAAAGAGAGGCTTGTTGGCCCCGTGGGCTTTACTTGGTGAATTAAACTTTATGAACTTAAAACTTTATGAATGGAGAGCAGACCCCCTGTTTTTGAAACATCGCCACCATCGCCACCATCCATCTCTCTGGTAGGCATTGGTAACACTCGCGTTTCACGGCCAGAAGAAGTGCATCGGTTCGAGTTTTGACGAGGGCACCTTTCTCTGTGTGTGTGTGTCCGTTGAAATTTTGTGTGCAGTATCCGTAGCCAACCGTGCTAGTGTGGAGTTTGTGTATTCTCTCCCTCTCTTCTGCGTGGGTTTCCTCCAGATTCTCCGTGTTCCTTCCAGAGCAACAAAGCATCAACATGCAACGCTACGCAACCAGCATTGGCAAAACATCCCCACGCTCAGACGTTGTCTGGAAAATGACTCAATTGGGATGAGAGAAGTTACAAGCTGGTTAGACAAGAACGAAGCAGTACTGTGGCTGTGTCCTAATAAAGTGGCTCTTGCCACATCGTTGTCTTGAGTCGTTACGATGCCGTCCTTGAATACAAATCAACTCCTGCCACCGAACACTGCCGATTCCAATTCCAGGACTGTCGGGGTCAACAACGGAGAGGTGTCAACCATTGGCACTCCCTTCGTCTCAGAAGTGAAGAGAGGTTAGGTAAATATAAACAAATAAATAAAGAACTTGTTTAACTAAAATATTGATATTTTCACTACTATATCTTCCCCTTGGAAAACAATTTAAAAATGTTAATTTTATTTAACTTGCATTGTATTTAACGGCCCTGCACGATTATATATATTTTTAATTAATTAGTATGTTAAATTTAGATTTAAAGCTTTCGTGACTGCAGGGATTCATATTCTTGGTTCTTTCGGTAAAGTAACGTAGAAGGGAAACAATAAAATAATAAAAATATAAAACAATAAAATTCTCACGACGTTTCGACTGCAACACAAGCAATCATCATCAGGTGTGAAAACCACAACAAGAAAAGTTTAAAAAAGTGGCGGTTATTTTAACGTTAGCACCACGGAGAGAGATTTGACAGTTTGTTCAGATGGACGAGTCCATCTATGTTCGGAAAAGAGGAGGGGGGAGACGAAAAATAATGGATGCGGTCTGAAAGCCACCTTAAGTGTGATCAATCAATTAAGACCCGAAATGGTTTATCAAATCCTTCCAATGATTGCTAAGCCAGAATCCGAACATAGATGGACTCGTCCATCTGAACAAACTGTCAAATCGCTCTCCGTGGTGCTAACGTTAAAAATAACCGCCACTTTTTTCAAATATTCTTGTGGTTTTCATACCTGATGATGATTGCTTGTGTTACAGTAGAAACGTCGTGAGAATTTAATTGTTTTAGGTTTTTATTTTATTGTTTCCCTTCTACGTGACTTTACCGAAAGAACCATGAATATAATTAATATGTTGATTAAAATTCCCAAATCCCAATCTGTGATATTATGGAGGAGCGGTCTTGCAGTGGTTAGTGCATTGCGTGGAAAAACCCGACAACCTGAGTTCGATTCCCTGTTACGGCTAACATTATTGAGGAGTGATACTTGACCAGGTCCTAAGCCTCCCCTAGGTCGACTCAGACTTAAAATGAGTACCTGATGCGGTGTGTAAACGACAGCACTGGGGAGACAAAGGTGGCCGGGCATGGTGTTGGCCACCCACCCCCTCGTGCGCCGTGCCGGCCTTCATCGGTGCTCGCTAACAGCACTTGCCCCTACAGTCTGTTGAAGGCTATACGGGGGATCTTTGTCTTTGTGTCTGTGTGTGTTGGTATGTGTATGTGGTTGTTAGTGGTTGTGGCGTCAAGCCTCAGACCCTCCCAGCTCCTTTTCATGAAACACGAAACTAAACTTCACCGTCTCGGCTGGACCAACATCTGGCTTATATTATACGCTCACAGACGCACACACACAGTCACACATACGGATACACATACGACTTAGGGAGGTCTTCATCTAGCAGTAGAACGATCAAAGCGATTTCCTGCTCAAATAACATTGGGGCGGTGCCTGTTTGCAACCCTGAGCCAGTGGTGGAAATTCCATATTCTCATGGTGGGAGCGAGTCTAACCCAGAGGACATAGCAACTGTCGATTTTCCCACAATGTGGTGTATGCATTGTATCGACCCCAGAAGTATGATGGGGCGCCTCGTTCTCACGCGGAAGAGCCTGGCCGCTGTTAAGACGCATACGCAACGCGCCCGCACGTGTTTACAATGTGTCCCAATTCGCTGCTATTGCTTGACTGCCGCCTTGTCTCTCTCTCCGTCTCTCACACATTCGCAAGATGAGTGTCCCTTGCTTTGGCTCTGTTAGTCTCGACCGCCGGCCGTCATCCCTCACAGCGGCGCTCTTCACTGCAGGGGTCCTGCGAGCCACTGACGGCCCCTGATGGCCTTTAGTGCGCCCCCCCGATAATGCGCAACGAGTGAAAACACCTCCCCCCGTCATGCCGTCAAACCCCCCAAATGGTTTCAAATTTGTGGCGGCCCTCACACTGATGTCGTCTTATCGGTGAAAGTGGCCCCTCTCTGGAAATGCGTGAAGAACGCTACCTTACAGCTACGCGTCCTGCGCAGAGGCAAGGAAGATGAGGGTCGTACTTGTCACGAATCGATTATTTTGGTACGGTCTGTCTCGTTTGTGTTGTCCGTTTCCTTTGCGTTCAGTCGTTTTTGTTCTGTCTGACGTTGATGCTTTCCTGTCGATGTCATTTCTCTGTGCGTGTTTTGCGTGAGCCGCGCGTACCGCCGATTAGAACGGTTGGCTGCGTACGGTGCGACAAAAAGTTCAACATACATACTCTTTGGTTCTTTCGGTAAAGTCACGTAGAAAAATAATAATAATAGATCACGACGTTTCGATCGCCACACAAGCGGTCGTCCTCAGGTGGGCAATACATACCTCGTCTTTCAGTGCAATTACAAGCCACGCTTCCTTGCGCAACTTCTCAGCTGTTGTTCCAATTTCTTTGTCAATATCCACAAACTTCTTTTGCACCGTACGTAGCCAACCGTGCTTATCGGAGGCGCGGAAGAAGGACAGCAAACTTAAACACAAAAAAAGCAGTTCTAAAGAAATTCGTTTTCAGTCTATATTTAAAGGCGCAAAGCTCCCAGCGGCTTCCTAATATCGGGATGAAGAGCGTTCCAGACGGCCGCAGAAGCGCATCTGAAAGCGCGCGATGCGGTGACCGCCGTCTTTGTTCGGTGGTTTCAATGTGCCTGCAGACAACATTTTTCGATCAGTGCATGTATTACCTGCTATCGCGTGGATCAGACACATTCACAGGGAAAACGGCGTCGTGATCATTATTAGTATCCCATGAGTTTCCTTATGGGCTTCTTACTCGTGTGCAAGCGCTTGATGGATCGTTACATCGCAGAATTGTGACAGATGGTGACGACCTTCATCCAGCAGTGGACTGACCACGGCTGATGGATGATGATGATGAGATGCCCAAAGTAGCAACTATAGAACGCAGTAATGTGCAAGGACTAAAATGATGTTTTACTAAAAGTGAAGAAAATGTTATCCTTGCAATAATGCGTGCAATTCATCACGCTTGTGCCTTGAAGTGCGCGTCTTATCAAAGGCAGCCGTAGCTACAAAAAAAAAGAAGAGACGAAAAATCTAAAAGAACCCCACACAAAAAAACCTGAGAGCACATTCCTGGTGATGTTTACCATGTGCGTGTAACGTGTGCGCGAGCCTTTACGACAAATCGCCTCCAAGCTCAACTTATTTCCTGCCCAGAGGCGAAATTACCTCTCCCCTACGCTCTCTCTCTCTACCCGACAGCGATTTCCAGTTGTGGTGGGTGATGGGGGTCGTAGCTAGGGAGTTGTTTGGGGGGGGGGCGAGGGGGGGGGCGGTAGAGGCTGGGGGTGACGATGGGAATAGCGACGACGGACGGGGTGGATGGTGGTGGAGGTGTTGATGGTAATGATGATGAGTTGGTGATAATCGTGGTTAGTCGTAGTATTGGTAGTGGTTTTAGTGGTGGCGATGGCGCTTGTGGTAACGTTGGTCGTGCTGCTGGCAATGCTGCTCGTGATAGTCGGTGATGCTGGTGATGATGACACCGGTGTTAACAGTGGCGATCGTGATGGTGGTGATAGTGGTGATGATGATGCTGGTTGAGATGGTGCCCGTGGCAGTCGTGATGATGGTGGTGGTAGCGATGGGGACGCGGACACCTGAACTCGGGTGCCGAACAAACTCAAAGGCCCCCCCCCCTTACTCCTCACCAGACCCCCAATCATCCCCCCCTTTCCCCACCTACTTCCCCCGCCCCGTGTCTTGTTACTGATTGCGCCTCGGAGGCCCGGACTTGACGCTGCTGTGGATGCGAGGTGACGGCTCCGGCTGTGATGGAAGTGGGGGGGGAGCGGCCAGGTGGGCGCGTGGTGGTGGTGGTGGTATCGAGACTCGGGCGTGGGCCGCCGCCACCCACCCCTCACTGTGTGTGAGGTTGTGTGTGTGTGGTGTGTGTGGGAATGTGGGAGCGGTAGTGTAGTCGTTAGCGCGCTACGCTACGAACCTCGAGACCCGAGTTCGATTCCCGCTCAAGGCCAACACCAGTGACGATTATCTGAACCGGCCCTGAGCCTCCCCTAGGTCTACTCAACCTGAAATGAGTACCTAGTGCGGTGCGTAAAAACACAGACCACTTGGGAGATAAAGGCGGCCGGGCGTTGTGCTGGTCTCCCACCCCCTCGTGTGCCGTTCCGGCCTTCATAGATGCTCGCTAACAATACT